TATTCAAAACCAGAAACACGTAAACACTGGGTCCCCAGACTCAGAGCAATGAAAATTTTGATCTGTGTTAACTACAATAGGATTATCACTTGCCCCTGCATACACTTCAAAAATTTTATAGAGCCCATAAGCCAATGCTTCCTTCTCCACTATCGAGTAGCGTGGACCGCAGAAGCCACCACAGCCCTACAGGACTGTTTTGACAACACGGTTTGGGGTATATTTTTGCAGAAGGAACAGAATTGGAGGGCCACACACCTCTCATACTCTCATACATACTGAGAGTGTAACAACAACAAAGACTGTTAAAGTGTTCTCATCACCATCTTCAACCTCTCACTGCTACAGTCTATTATACCATCCTGCTTTAAGTCACCCACTATCGCTCAAGTGCCCAAGAAGAACATGGTGAGCTGCCTGAATGACTATCGTCCAGTTGCATAAATGCTTTGAGAAACTTATCGGCGGCCTTACTCCCAGCAAATGGGCGATAGAAAACATGAGTATGAGCAATTTTTTTTACATTTTGTTTTGCTGATGCCCGTGATGCCACCCCCCACCATGATGCTGCCCCAGGCAACCGCCCGTGTCGCCCGTATCAAAAACCGCTACTGCCTGCATCTGAACACAGCCAGTAACCTTTTAACAAGTCAAATTTACTGACAAATTTTGCTGAGACTATCCCGTCCACACAGTCATTGACACGTGACAATGGAAAGAATCCATCTTTGTGACCTGGTTAACTTTACGACAATCGGTACAGGGTTGAAAGGTCAGATCTGGTTTTTGTACAAGCATGGGGATGATCAATTTGAACATGAAGTTACGGCATTACAACAACAACAACAACAAACTTTATTTATAGAGCATATTTAAAAACCAGCGGTACACCAAAGTGCTTAACATAAGAGACAGAGAAGTAACACGAGTATTATAAGGCCTTAGCAAAGTATCAAATATACTCACAGGTCAATGCCACTAATACACGGGGGTAATATAAAATGCATATCAAAATAAAAACACAATAAAAGCACAAGCCATAAAAAAAATATGTATAAGAAAAAATAGAGTAAGTCTAAAAGTCAGGTGTTGATTATTATCAACATGCACTTCACATCAGACTTCAGTTGATCTTATTTTTCCAGTAAAGTGTGATAGAAACGCTGCCAAACATTCCTCCCCAGTTTCAACCCTCCCACTAACCAACCCCTCTGAAAGAGCTGCCACAACAATTGATGTCACATCCTCTGCACCACATACAGGAACATGATAGAGATTTAACAGGTTTACATTAAAAAGTTGTGATTTCCTTCTGTGTTCAAGAGTAGCAACCAGATAATTTTGATCTGACACCTGCTGCAGTACAGAATATGGACACGTTAATAACAGGAAGCAGTACCAACACTTTGTCCCCTGAACTAAACGCAAGTGTTTCAGCTCTACAGTAAAACTGTTTTTTCATCTGTGTTCAGTTGAATTTTTGCCTGTTTTACAGCTTCATACAACCTCCTTCTAAAGCCATTAACATAGTCTGCCAGATTTACAGGAGGTGGGAGGATCTTCCAATCATC